CTCCCTCCCTCAATTTTCTACATACATTTAAACAAGCTGATGAAGCCACCTGTTGCTCTCTCGCACCTTCCCTCCCCCCTTAACTGGAGCTTTCCCTCCTGCTTGCAGTCATCTCCGGCGGAAGCAGTCATTCACAAGCCGGATTGGCTACCCGGGGCTGTTCTACAGTTGTAATCAAGCAAGCCACCTTATCTCCGATCTCTAAAAGAACGGAGGATTTACAAGTGCCACAACCAAGGAAGGAGGGAGGGGTGGCTTCCAGTTTGAGGTTCAACACTCTATTTGCTATACCACAGTGGCTCTAAATAGTTGTTACACTAGCTAAGATCACTACATGCATTTTTACTGCAGGAAAGGTAAAGGAAATAGAACAGGAAAGAACACTTCTTGTGATGCAACATACATCACAAGAAGTGTTCTTTCCTTTTGGTTTGGTGCCTTAGTTTCTTTTAATCTTCTATTCAGGCATTTTCTGGAACTAGAATGAGAGTTACTCTGTTGATTTCATCTCTCTTCTCTAATAGCTGGTCCTCAATGTGAAGTAAGAGAGGAGATGGCAGGGAAGAGTACGACACTAAAGGAAGGTGAAAAAAAAAGAATAGCAAGGGCAATGATACCTATAGCAAGAACAAAATTATCATCAGTCAAAAGGGAGAGAGTAAAATGTAAATGAGTTGCACTGCCAGTCTTTCCTTGTTACATAGCAGAACCCTAGAAGCACTAATCTGGTTGCATACAAACAAGTGAGAGTGTGCGCATCTTTCTTTGAAGACAAACTACACTCTTAAATGTAAAGCATCACATTCTTCCCTGCTTTCTCTTGTGGCAGCAGATTGACAGGGGCCTCTTTAGTATAGGCTCTCTTGTTTGGACTCAGAAGAGAATGCAGCTCCCCAATCACTGAAAGATGACTAGATGTAATAAAACAAAAATGTACAGAGTATTTCAAAGCAAAACCAAATTTCTCATATTCACTCAGTAGCATATAAACCGGTCATTAATGTCCACAAACGTTGGTAATGTATTCAGTATATCTGTTCTGGAGGTAAATGTCTTCAGACAATTTAAAGTGTGTTGTAAATTGGGGTCCATCTTCACATTCCAGTATGTTGGAAATCATCTGTGAATTCTTTCGGCCTTTTTAACATGTTCATTTGTGTTGGCTGTACTCTGCTATCATCTCTTTGGTGATAAAAACTGCAAAAGTCTGAAGACTATTAAGAATAATGATCAATACACAATATTAAGAACAACCGTTTTTAGGACCATGTGTAATTATTACCATCAACAAACATCTGAAGAGAACTTGCAAAGTCAGCAGACATTCGTCCAGAATGAAGCTGCCCTGGCCTAAGTTTTTCTTTTTCACCATCTTTGCTTCTCTTCTTTCCAACTTCTCTTTGATCTGCTCTTTCTGTAAAAGGAAATTGATTGAAATGTAAACATTACCATAGTTGTTCAAACACTATTCAGTGGTTCTTGTCTCAGGCAATAGACAGTGTTCAGAACCACCAATCAAAATTGAAGTCCATGTTTCTGACAGTCAGAATTTCGGGGCACCTGAACAATGAATCCATATTTAGCACAATTCCTTTTTATGACTCACCACTTATGAATTTGTCTACATTTACCCAGGTATTTTATGAGCATCCTCATCAACCAACTGTAGCTATGGGATTCATGAACCAGCACACACATTGTACAAGGACATCCAGTCTCAGCTGGAATGTTAATACAGAAGCTTCATGGGAAAATGAAGGAAAACTGAAGCAATACTCAGTTTGGATACATCCCAGGGCTGCCTAGGCAAAATGATTATGTGCCAGTTTCCCAGCAGAAGTTGCCTTGAGCAGAAGACGATTTATGCTGTGGATAGCTTTTTGAAGGGTCCATTAGCCCGGTACTACTGCTGCCAGGTGCTAGCACCCATGCTGACTACTGCCTGGGAGAACATTTCATATTGTGTTTATTAATTGACCTCCCAGGCAACCTGCACAACAGGGTGGAGCAACACATGCCAAAGAATATGTAGATCAATAAAATGTTTTTACTTTTATCATGCCATAATGGAATGTCATCCAAAGAGAGGTCATGGAGGCTTTCTGCGGCTAGGAGTGACAATAGAAAAGGTCTGTATTACATACTAAATAATCACAGTTTAGTGATGGTTCAGAAAGTGTCTGCATCTGAATGGATAGGCAGGTTTACAGAGGAAAAGGCAGTCTTCAAAGAACCTTAGTCCCAAACCATATAAAGCCTTAAACGTATAACCAAGATTTATACAACGCTTGGGAGCAAACTGGGAGCCAAGGAATCTGGCACAGCAGATTTATTTTAAAATGAATAAGGTATAGTTATAAAAAGAAGTGGAATTTCATCTTGTTCCATTTGACCTGTACCTATAATTAATCACAGACGTCACAACCCAGTGTACAGTTCTGATCACTTATATTCCAATGATATGAATCAGGATTAAGAATGCCTACTTATTCTTGAATAGCAGCAGTGATGTATATATTTATTCAGAAGAATGTCCTACTATATTCAAAGAAGTTTACTTCTACAGAATGGCAGATACTTTTGACACATGGCAATCCTGATGATATGTGATACATTCAAAGAGTCATCTGTCATTGTCACGCACAGACCAGTGACTTTCCATGGCCATGTTGGGAACTGGATTTAAGTCTAGTCTGACACTCTGTCCACTACACCATAATATGTGCTAAAGTCCATTGTTTTCAATAGAGATGAAAGACATTTAATAGTATACTGGGTTGCATCGGTATGTGAGCCTAAGAGCTGCCCACCATAACAGCGTTCAGCTCTCACTGGATTTTTGGAAGTATTTACCGTGATTCTTTGAAAGCATGCATATTTTCTTCAGAAGAAGTTCAGTGTCTACTATGCTGTCTCCACACCCCCACCATGAAGCATTGCACCGATATTCTATTTTTCAAAGTTGAATATCCAACAGACTTGGTACAAGTGCATACCTTTGCCAGTTTTTTCAGCTTTTTCTGGTTGCTTAATAGTAGGTATGGTATCATTTTTAATCTCAGAAACTTTTATATCTTTTTTTGAATCCTGAAGTGATGTTTTAGGTTCAGGGACAGATTCTTCTGGTAACTTAAACTCTGGCAATATTTCTCTTAAGAAATCCCAAACTTTATCCAAATAACCAGACCTTTAAAACATAAATGAACATTGTTTTAAAACAGAATTGTCTGTTCTTGTTTTTTACTGCAAATACACTGTTCCTCATATTTTAATTTTTTGAACTATGGGGAGACAAGTAAAGCAGTATTCAGCCCATATATGCTCCTATTTCCATTGTGTGGTTCTCATGGTTCTATTTAGTTGTTTTACCACACTATCAGTTTCCTGTATATAATTTCTTATGGTGTATCCCAGGAATTCACCTACTTCTTCAAAGGAAAAAAAAGCGTAAAAGGAATCTACAGTAATGTTTCTAGAATAATACAGTAAAGATAAAAATTACAACAAACTTTCAATTGATAGCACATTTTTCTTTGTACTTTAAATGCATTTCAAATGAATATTATGTACTAAAGTAATGCTTGGAACAATTTTTAAAAATTACTTTTTTCTAAAGAAAGAATATGAGCTTTACAAATGAGCACAGAGCAGGAAGATATAATGCCTGGTTGCAGATCTAGCTATAATCTGTGTAGACTGATAGCCCAAGATCTACTTTAAATATTATTCAGTCTGGATCCAACCCCTGTAAGGAGACTTCAGCAACAATAAACTCCCAGTTTCTATTTCAAGGACACAAGGCATTTAAGTTGAAAAGTATGACATTTCATGAAAATGATTCTGATTGCTTTAAAGGTCTGAGTCATAGTGTAAATCTATTTCCTTTCCCAAAGGCCAGATGAATCAAGTACAGAGGAAGCAAACAGAATGAAACTAATTATAAAGTAGAACTTACTGAAGTGGAATAATTTCTGGTATCCATCCAGTTAGTGCATGTAGAACTGTAAATTCCCCTAGTTCTCTTTTTCCATCTTCATGTATACTACAAAAAATACAATACACAGAAATATACATGCAAGAACATTACAGTTCTATTCAGATATTGTACTTCTGTATACCCTGTTTCCCTGAAAATAAGACCTAGCCTGAAAATAAGCCCTAGTATGATTTTTCAAGATGCTCATAATATAAGCCCTACCCCAAAAATAAGCCCCAGTTAAGTGAAATCCTGCCCTCCACCATTGTGCAGCAACCAGAAGAATATGACATGACTGTATTTGAATAAATATAGATTGTTGTACATGAAACAAATAAAACACCCCCTGAAAATAAGCCCTAATGCATTTTTGGAGCAAAAATTAATATAAGATCCTATCTTATTTTCAGGGAAACACAATAGTGTCCTCTAAGTAATCAGCACTTTGACTAATCTTAACTGGTGCTAACAGTGACATTGCCAGTTTGAAAGCCCATTGTCAATGCAACTGACACCTCTCCCCTCCACACACACACCTCATTTGATCCCCACGCGTCTACCATGTCACAGAATAAATAGTAATAAACTTGTGGTCTAACGATTGTAGTCCATATATGTGAGAAAGTGGATTGTAATCCACAAAAGCTCACACTGAAATGATTTTGTTACTCTTTAAGATGCCATAAGATTTTGTTTTTATTATACATATTGAACAGACAAACACAGGTACCTCTGAAAACTACAGGCAAATAGAAACAGATATGCCCAGCAAAGCCACAACACTTGATGTTATGGTAGCTAAGTTAGATTCCCAGGCCAGTATCCTATTAAAATTCTATTGAACAGAAACTTCTACCAGCATAATAATGCAGGATTTCACAGTTTACAGAAGTACTGCCAATGTACACACTGTGATCTCTTTCAAGAAAACCCACTTGTCCATTTGTGCAACAGCACCACATGGGCAAACGGTGTGATTCCACATTACTAAAAAGACAGAACTCATCACTCAGCAGAGGCTGAATAGGATATTGGCAACAATCTCTGGTATGTTATAAGATCACAGGGCTCGCTTTATCATATTATAATCTTAACACTATTAATATTTTCCAGCATGCCAGCACTTACTTGGTTTGGTACTGTAGTTTATGATACAAGCTGCCTTTAGCAGCCTTGCCTCTGAACAAAGAGGGGCCACTATCCTAAAACCACAAAAGGACTTCCACAAATGGAACAATGCTTTGCCGTTTACTTCCTTCTGTTGCAGTTTCCTGTGCAGCACTCCAAAATATTTATAGATATTGTGGGGCTGTCCACAGCAGAATTCAATCTGACATTTGAATTGGGAGGCTACGATAGCTCATGTATGAGGTGGAATGAAGAAAGAAATCAGAAGCCCCCATGCAAAGAGATTGATGGGAAAAGGCCAATGTTTTTGTGTATTAAGATAAATATACAGTGTCTTCCATAGCACTTGGGTAACTTTCCATGTCTCCTGTTTTATCCAGGGTTGCAAAGACATACTACCAGTAACAGACACACTACATTTGTCCTGTGTATTAAATTCTAGCTTTGGTACTTATTGCTTTATTTTAATCTCACAATAGACAGAGAGAGGTTTAGAAAACTTACTCAGTATTTGCTAATTTAATGATGGCTTTGGATAATATTAATGGCCACAGTTCAATTTCACACGTTGTAGCTGGCAGCAGCATAGAATTGTCTTCATTGCAAGGTATTGCATCATCCACAATGATCTTTCGCCAACACCCCTGCAAGAGAAAGAGAGGGGATGGAGAGAAAGAGAGAGAGAGAAGAAATAAAAAATTTTGGGAAGGCATTGGAAATAGATAAATTATATGTGTGACCTTCAAAAAGTCTGACCCTCATTGTAGACAATTTAAACAAATAATTAGAGAAACAATTTGAAAGCTCATCTGCACAGCAAATACAATTAGCACTTTGGAAATCATTTGAAAGTATTCAGTAAGCTATTGCTCGATTGTCAGAATTCATATGGGGTTTGTCGAGGAAAAAATACATTTAGAATTAAACTAGCTGGAATATGTTGTAAAAGGAAAGTAGATTGTCATTATTTATCATTATTATGCAATAGAAATCCACAGGTGGCAGTCAGTGCTGGTCAGATTGTGTCACCAAACAACTATCAGGGAAGAACAATGGTCCTGTATTGTGATTTGTAAGTTGGAAGAAGGTAGGCAGATGGACTGAAAACATACTTGTACAAATACTGGCAAGGAAGTTTTCGGAAGGCTTCCCAGAACATACCATGAGAGCTGCTAATGTCATTGAACTGAGCCAGTGCGGGTCACTTCTGATTCTCCACCTCTGCTGTTGTGAAAACCTCACTATGCAGATCTAATCCACCTTGCATCTCTTGCCAATAAAGGCATATGTTCCATTACTACATAATGCTCTGTCCTTTCCTGGGAGAGTACTCTGCCTCTGCACACAAGTACATTCTATCCTCACCACTGCATAGTGCAGAATCTATGTGTGCTGCCACTACTGTCATATTAAATGAAGATATAGTTTTCAAGGTTGGAGAATCTCCAGAATCAACTTTCAAGCAGTGCTGAAGAGAATGTTGGATTTAGCCCATAGTAATAACAGGTAACAACAGTCATGATTCTGAAAAATTGTACATACACACACACACACTCATACACAAACATAGATGGATGCATGGTCACACACACACTGCATTTAACTAAACAAATTTTATACAAAGTTAAAATATAATTAAAAAGATGAGTACTTACCATCCAATACAATTTTACAATGTATTTTCCATAGCTATTGTACAGTGGCATGTGTCCCTTGATAGCTTTGCATAATGAATATATATGTTCCCATGGCTTCCACAAAAGCATAGGTGCTTCACTGGCATTAGCTTTAGCTTCGGCACTTAAAACTGCAGCATTATATATTTTCCAAAGTGCATGAATTTCAGTTATTATCCATCTCATCAACTGAAATCAAGTGGTGGAAGAAATAAATAGCAAAGGTCAGCTGAGTTCTGTTCAAAATCTATCTTTTTTATAATACAATGTGCAAAACCCTCTTGCGTAATCTTAAATTGTGTAAACCAGATAACATTATCATCTGACACTAACAATATTTAATTTGAACAAATTGAAAGCTTCCTCCACCCTCCCTTTCAGGTTCCAAAACTCACTAGGGCTCCCTTTTGCCTTGGGGAAGCCTCTTGGAATCTTAGGACAAAGGGTTGTTAATAGTTAAAAATCATTACCTGATTGCTGTTGGAAGGGTAAGGACTGACAGCAGTGTTCTTGCAGCAATTTTTGATTATTAAAAGGGGCTATACGAAGCTTTTAATTAGCTTGAATTAAATTCTACCAGCACCAGATGACAACATCATCTAGTTTGCACTGCATAACAATAAATGCAAACAGGATTTTTGCCATTACATAATAGCAATGATCATAAACTGTTTACTAATTTGCACAGAAACCATCAACCCAGACCTATTTCCTCACCTTCAGGCTGCACACCACTATTGTTTTATTATTTTACTATTCAGTAAAATACAATTCAGTAAAATAATGCCTGTTTTGCCATCTCTGCCTCCAGCTCATGTGTATGAAAGAATGAAAGATATGACATTTAAAAACTGGTCAATCAAGCCACTGAACTGTTAGACCCAGTTCCATATTCATGAGTTATGAAGAACTGGTCTCACTCCAATCATCATCTGCAGAGCCTTGTGGGAAATGGAACTTATGTACCAGGCTTATGTACCCACATACAGCTCCAAGCTGACCTCTATTCCCCCTCACAACAAACCTGTGCAAAAAAATAAAAAAATAAAAATGAATTTGTCTTTAAAAAGGCTGTGCAGACAGTTTTGCTATGTTTTGACAGAAAAAACCTCTGGAGCCCCAAATATCCCAAATCATATTTTAAAACTAACAACAACAACAACAACATCAACAACAAGGGGTGTATGTGGCTTCCTGGAATTCTGGAGACTGCAACCAGAAATCATTGTTTACCACTTTGTACACAAGCCTACATGAAATTTAAGCTCACACACTCTTTGAGCACTTACTCCCACTACTTCTTTTTTTTCATGATCAGAAGAAGGAAATTAGAAACTTTGTTTACAATTTCAAGCACCTGTATTTCCCAGTGATATCTATTGTTTCAATTTCAGTTGGGGGCCAGAATCCTCTTTCATAGCTATGCAAACATCAGAATAATTTACCTCTTATAAAATTATGTGAAGTCAAAAAATCACAATAGACACTCACTTGTACACTGAGTCAGGAAATTCAGTATGTAATAGCTTATATGTCTACACTGATTTCTTAACTTCAGGCAATTCAACTTCAAAAGATACACTATTTGGATTACATAATCATAACTAGGCAAGAGGTTATGATCAATGAGAACAAACTAGGATCAAAACATAATTTCAAAGGAATTTGAATGTGGTCACAAGTTTAGATATAAGATAAAACTGGCAGATGGAATCAGAAGCACACACAGGTCCAAATGTAGAGCTTCCAAATGCATATCAATACTGCAGCACTGGGTTGCACTATAGCACTGAGTATATTCCAGAGGCAAGAAAAGAACAAGCAATGCTTAACTCTCATAGTTACTTAGCAGTGATTTAAAAAAATGGGGACAGTCTGACGTAGACAGCTACAATCTTTTCATATAATCATTAGAGATGGACTTTTCAAGTTCCAAGTTTATATATTCCAGCTCTTGACAGTGGAAAAAATCCGAGAGGGGGGGGGGAAGGAGACAGAGCCTCCTAAACACGAAGGAGGTGCATTAACAAAAGAGAGTTAAATGAAAGTTGCATCTTCTTTTGCAGTTCCCTCTTTCTCCCAACCTCTCTTTCAACTTTTGTCTGTCAAATCTCCAGGAAATTTTAATTCCCATAGCAGTGTGCAGGTTCATACCAGGAATTTTGAATCTGTAAAGGGGCCTGTTTTGGTTGGAACCCAGTAAAGAGAGTTCTTCTTTTGCTTCAGCTGTTAAATGTGTGAGCTCCTACTGCCTTACATCTTAGACAGTGCTGCTTGACTGCCTGCCTGCCTGCATGTATCTATCTTGGAATCTTTGCCTTTTTTGCCTTTTTTTCTTGTTTGCTGTCACCCCATTTCATCAGATTATTTTTGTTGCTGCCTCCAGGCAGCCTGCATGTGCCAGTGTGGTTCCTTAAAATTATTTTAAAAAATTCTCCCCTCTAGATGTCTTTGTCCTTTCCTTTGTTGGATTATCATTGATGCCTGTCTGACTTGACAGTTGCTGTCTGCTGGAGTCAAAGAAGAAGGAAAAAAGGCAAGTGTTAGGAGGGAGAAAAAATCTCCCCACGTTCTTGTAGTTCTGTTTGGGATAGGGATATTGGTTGTATCTTTTGCTTTCATTTGCTTGTTTGCCTTTCTTGCTATTTTGTTTTATTTTGTGTTTGCTTCCCCCCTGTGAGTGTGGGGAGGTGCTTTCCCTATTTGGCTGATTTTTAAAAAAAATGTCATTTGGTTAAATTGTTGTGTTATATTCCGCTAAAGATATATATCTTGGTCAAGTCTGGAAGACTGGTATGTTTGCTAGGGATGTGTGAAAAGGTGGGTGGAGTTTGTGACTGTGCCAGCGTGCCACTGGGCTGTGTGAGTGGGTGTTTTTGGTTGGGAGCAGTTTGGGGCATTTCTCTCTTCTTGTTCTGATGATGATTTTTCTTTCTCATGCACTGTTGCCTGCTTTTGGAGTAAACTAATTATCCTTTGCCTTGCCTCTGCTTTTTTGGAGTAGTTTTTACAGTTTGTTTATGTCTTTCAGACTAGTGCCAAAAATATGAATGCAGGGGTGGGGTGGAGGAAACAAAAGAAACGATCCAAAAGAGGTCATTTTTGTGTAAAACAAAGGGACTGGCACATCAAGAAAAAAGAAAATGAAGATGCACCCCACAACAGAAACCAAAATAAAAGAAGTACAAAAATGTTCACTGTGCATATGGTAATTATGTCCAACAAAAGACATAACATTTAGTTTATCTGTATATTTCAGCTTTTGTATTTTGTACTGATTTCCCAGTGAAAGGAAAGTCCAAAGCTGCAAAGAAAAATACTACATAGGAACCTGGAATGTAAGATCTATGAACCTTGGGAAGCTGGAGGTAGTCAAACAGGAGATGGCAAGAATAAACATAGACATCCTGGGCATCAGTGAACTAAAATGGACAGGAATGGGTGAATTCAGCTCAGATGATTATCATATCTACTACTGTGGGCAAGAATCCCATAGAAGGAATGGAGTGGCCCTCATAGTCAACAAAAGAGTGGGAAAAGCTGTAATGGGATACAATCTCAAAAATGATAGAATGATGTCAATACGAATCCAAGGCAGACCTTTCAACATCACAATAATCCAAGTTTATGCACCAGCCACCATTGCTGAGGAGACTGAAATTGAACAATTTTATGTGTCTAGAATTGACACCAAAGAAAGATGTTCTTCTCATTCTAGGGGACTGGAATGCTAAAGTAGGGAGCCAAGAGATAAAAAGAACAACAGGGACATTTGGCCTTGGCGTTCAGAATGAAGCAGGACAAAGGCTAAT